TAAAGTGCCTGCTTAGGCAGACATAGGGACCATGGTTCGATACCCGGCATGCTGAGCCGGCCTGCCTCTGGGGCGCGCTGAGATGGCAATTGAGACTGGGCATGGTGGTGCGCGCCTGTAACACCAAACCCTTGGGAGGCTGAAAATAGGAGAATCACTACGAGTTCGATCTGTGTAGTGAAACCCTGTACTAAATACAAAAAACAAAACAACAAACAAAAAAAGTATTTGATACAGGGTCTCACTACACAGCTGGACTCATAGTGAAACCCTCCCCAGGGCTGAGATTACCGTGCCCTGTCTCGGTGGCTGCTCAGCGCATGTGGGGTCGGGGACAGTGCAGCATGTGGTGTCAGGGATTGAACCCTGGTTACTGAGGTTTCCTAAGCAGGAGCTTAGTCCCTTGTGCTATCTTGCTGGCCCTCTCTGGAGGATTCTTATATAGATATAATCCTCATTGCCGGCTTACCAGCCCCTTACTTACATCAGCAAAGGGGTTGACCGAGTGGAGGTTGTAGATAGTGAACATAGGATGTGATTCCCTTTCCTTGGTGGAATGGGCCTGCAGAAGGGAGACGGATTGCTGGGAAGCAGGGGGCGCAGGGTGCCGGAGATGTACCTTCTTCCTCACCACAATTCCTCGTTTTAGAAGTTTCTTGAGGTACAGGCAAGCAGATGGGTTGAACTTGTGGTACTGGAATACTGAAGAGGGAGGCCAGTCGCCCCATGCTGGTTCCAGGAGGGTGCTGACGCGAGAGCAAGCACTTGTGACATGTTCTGTCTAATCAGGTGGTCTCCTGCCACATCTGGGCGGGGCCTGCATCCGGGTCCCTTCCACACTCCCCCCCCCCCACCCCCCCCCCCTCTTTTTTTGTATTTTAGGGAAGGGTCTACAGGGTGTTTAGGGTCTCACTACTAGACTGGACTTGTAGTGATCAGCCTGTTTACAGGCTCCCAAGAGCTGGGGTTACAGACACGTGCCACTGCACCCAGTCACAATTGCCATCTCAGCGCGCTGTGGGGATCGAACCCCCGGTCTCTGCGCCGCTTGCAGGGGCTTTAATCTGCTGAACTATTTGGCCAGCCTTTGAGCTATTTAACTAGTTCCCCCCCCCCCTTTTTGAGACAGGGCTTCCCTATGTAGTTCAGTTGAAGCTAGCCTTGAACTCTGTATGTTGTACAGACTGGCCTCCTGCCTCAGCCTCCCAAGTGCTATGATCACAGGCATGCACCACCACTTCCAGCGGCAAAGAATGCTTAAATTACCCATTTAACACACATGCATGTGCTTGTACACACACACACACACACACACACACACACCCCCCTACGGAATGGACTAGTACCTTGCTAGTGGGCTTCCCACCCTATTCAAGGGAGGTACAAATGTTCCCAGTCCCATACTATAGTGCATCTCATTTCTCTCAGAGCCTGCATTTCATTCTTGAGTGCATCCTAAACTCTAGTAAACCCATCTTGTGCTTCTTACTGATGCGTCCTGAAACTTCTTTTTCTGTGATAGGAGCCAGTAAACCTGCTACAAACAGATGAATTAAGATGTGGTCTCCATGCCTGTTATCCCAGCATTCGGGAGGCTGAGGCAGGAGCATTGCTGCTTATTTAAAGACATCCTAGTCTACCTAGTGAGTTCAAGGCCAGCCTGCATGACATAGGGAGACCTTGTCTCTCTATTTTTTTTTGTCTTATTTTGTTTCCCTGTATAAAAAAAGACCAGTATCAAGGTAAGGTGGGGGGAGAGATACCCCTTAGTGTAGAGAAATGGGGCACAAGGATAAGCTTCAAAAGGAGGGTAGTTAGGGAATGTCATTAAGGCAACAAAATATTCTCTGTAAAAAACTGCAGGAGCACCACAGCCTCCGAGACAATGGCAGAGGTCTCCTTCCCAGTGGGGATTCTCTCAAGTGTCTGGAAGGGAAATGGCAGCTTCTTTCTTCTGTGGCAGCTGCTCCACTGCTTACTCTGGGTCACCTTCTTCCTTATGTAGGTAAGAGTGCTGCAGGGCTCGGAATGCAGAGATATGCTTGTGTGGGTTAAATGTCAGCATTTCCAGCAGCAGTTGTGCTCCAGATTCCTCCATCTCAGGTACCACTGACTGCACAGGGCGAGGCCCTCTGGGTGAAAAGGCTCCTTGTGGTAAAGATACATCTCGAGGCCAGGCATCCTCTGGAGGCAGCCCAATCAAGTCAAAAATTTTGCCCAACTGATCAGCGTCAGAGTTTCCACAGAAAAGAGGCTTTCTTTTCTTTTTTTTTAAATTTTATTTATGTGTGTGTGTGTGTGTGTGTGTGTGTGGCCAGCTCAGCCCACCTGGGGGCAGGGCCGGCTGGCATGTGGTGCTCGGGGATTGAACCGCGGTCCTGTTCTAAGTAGGTGCTTTAGACCACTGAGCCATCTCACCAGCCCCAGAAAAGAGGTTTTCGATGAAACATCTCTGCGAAGATACAGCCAACACTCCACATGTCCACTGGTGTTGCGTATGTAGACTGCAGAAGAACTTTGGGAGCCCAGTACCAGAGTGTAACCACCACTGGTGTAAGGGCCATCTGGTAGCTGTAGATTCTTGCTAGACCAAAGTCAGCCAACTTGACTGTTCCACCACTTGTCACCAGAATGTTCTGTGGTTTCAGGTGTTGGTGAACGATGCAGTTGGCATGAAGGAAATCTAGGCCCCTCAGAAACTGACGCATTAGATCCTTGATGGTTTCAACTGGCAAGCCTGGTGGCGGGGCCTTGTCCAGATATGTCGTTAGGTCTTGGTCTACATGCTCAAATACTAGGGTCACCTTGATCTCTCGGTCGGTTCGGGAAGTAGCACAGACATCCATCAGCCGGACAACATTGGGATGCTCTAACGCCTCCCACCGCCTTAGTAAGGCCACCTCACATACTGTGCTGATGGGCAGGCCTCCTCCAGCTCCTCCTCCATTGGGGACTCTCACACTCTTGAGGGCTACGAAGTGGCCACTGTGAGGATCACGGGCCTTGTACACGGTCCCATAAGCACCGACACCAATCTCAGCCACTGGTTCATATCGAGAGGTGGCCATTCTCAGATCAGGGGAGACCCTCAAGCCAGGCTAAGAGCTGAGGGGGCAGCCCGTTATCGGGGCCTCGAAGCCGCTTCCCGCCGAGCCATACACGAGAGCTCGGCCTGGGGCAGCTGGACGTTATGGGCCGGACCATAGACACAGGCCGCAGGCTAGAAAAGGCCTCTCACCCCCACCCTCACCATGTGACCAGCTGCGAGGTGCGCGGAAACGCGGGTGGGGGGGCTCTTTTTTTTTTAAGGTGAGTTAAGTTTATTATTTCAGCTTTAGGAACCTCTCAGACCCAGCCCTGTAAAGGGGGTATTTAAGTGGTCTTGAGGCTGTCCTCAGGAAGGGTGACCTAGCTTGTGAATTCTTGTTGTCCATCCAGTTACTCACCTGGCTAGCCATGTTAGAATGGAAATTATGCACGTGTGTTTGACATGCAGATCTGTTGCTTACTAATATTGCTGTTTCCTGGAGGGTGAGGCTCTGTAGGAGGAAAGGTAAAAGCTTGGGTTCAGAGTCCAATTTACAGGCTTGCAGTGTCTTTCCGACCCTTAGTGCTTTTTAATTTTTTTTTTTTTGAGTTAACTTTTTTGGAAGGGAAAAGTGTCCTGACACTGCAGCTCATCTTAAAAATATAATTTTAAAATTACAATTTTATTTGTCTCCTTTTTGCCTACTTTTGTTTTTTTTCCTATTATATCTCAGCAAGTTTGTCTTGGGCACTTTATTTATTTAATTATTACTTTTTTTTTTTTTTTTTTTTTTGAAGCAGGGTCTTGCTGTGCAGTTCAGACGTCATTGAACTCACTAGCTGTTCAGACGTCATTGAACTCACCAGGCTGGCCTTGAACTCGCAGGGATCTTCCTGCCTCCTGAATGAGCCTCCTGAGTGCTGGGATTACAGACTTGTGCCATTACATCCACCTTGCTCTGGGGCTTTTTAATATCTTCTTTAAATTCTGATTAAGAACAAAATCATTCCTTCTTTAGTTTCTCTCTCACTACCTGTAGCTTAGGATACGAAGGCTAAATAAGCCAACTGATGCTTTCAATATTTTTCCTGTATATTTTAGCTGGAGCTTCATGGCACGTCCTGCTTTCCCAAAAGGTCTCCTGAGGTCTGTCAGGCATCACCCACCATTTGCCTACCCTAAACCATGTGTTTTAAACTGTATTTATTTATTTTTTCCCATAATTTTATTGATAAACAAATAGCAATGACACAGTTTCAAATCAAATCGGTAGGACAGTTTCAATAATTAACACATTGCATACATTCCTCCTAGTGGTTAATTGCTGTACAAGATGCGGACATGATATCCTATCTACAAACACC